ATCTCTGAATCGTGGCTGACCCCTGAAGCAGATGTCTATTTTTACTTCCATTTTTTCACATTTAATGAATCATATTTAACTGCGACTTAGCGTGAGGCCGTGTAGTGCAGCCTGCGGAAGTGTAAGTTTTTGTTGTACCTATGTTGGATTACATCTTCATTCATTAAAACTTTGGGACATTCTAAAAGGGAGTAATATTCTCTCTGGGTCTTCAGTTATTACATTAAGACTACGTAGTGTTGGGAGCGAGGTGTTGGTGGTAGCACTGGTACTGCTGGTGGGGTAGCTGAAGGCGCAGGTAGTGCTGGTGGTGGTGCAGTTAGTGCTGATGGTCTACCTGGACAGGGTTTCGGGGGTCAACGCCCCCGCGGCTCGGTCTGAGACCAGGCCTCGTAGTGGATCAGGGTCTGATCAACCAGGCTGTTACTGCTGGCCGCATGCAAACTGACGTACGAACCACAGCCCGGCTGGTCAAGTACTGACTTGAGGTGCCTATCCAGTGCCTTCTTGAACACAGTCAGGGGTCTATTGGTAATCCCCCTTATGTATGCTGGGAGGCGGTTGAACAGTCTTGGGCTCCTGACACTTGTTGCGTTGTCTCTGTGTACTCGTGGCACCCCTGCTTTTCATTGACGGGAATGTTGCATCTCCTGCAGAGTCTTTTGCTTCCATACGAGGTGATTTTCGTGTTCAAGTTTGGTGCTAATACCTCTAGGATTTTCCAGGTGCTAGTGGTGGTAGCACTGGTACTGCTGTGGGGTAGCTGAAGGCGCAGGTAGTGCTGATGCAGGTAATTCTGGTGGTGGTAGCACTGGTAATGCTGGTGGTGGCGCAGGTAGGGGTGGTGGTGCAGGTAGTGCTGAGTGGTGGTGCAGGTAGTGCTGGGTGGTGATGGTGGTAGGTGCAGGTGTGGGTGGTGATGGTGGTGCAGGTAGTGCTGGGTGGTGGTGGTGCAGGTAGCGCTGGGTGGTGGTGGTGATGCAGGTAGTGCTGGGTGGTGGTGGTGGTGATGCAGGTAGTGCTGGGTGGTGGTGGTGGTGATGCAGGTAGTGCTGGGTGGTGGTGGTGGTGATGCAGGTAGTGCTGGGTGGTGGTGGTGATGCAGGTAGTGCTGGGTGGTGGTGGTGATGCAGGTAGTGCTGGGTGATAGTGGCAGTACTGGTGGGTGGTGATGCAGGTAATGCTAGGTAGTGGTGATAGTGCTGGGTGGTAGTGGTAGTACAGGTGGGTTGTGATGCAGGTAGTGCTGGATGGTAGTGGTAGTACTGGTGGGTGGTGATGCAGGTAGTGCTGGATGGTAGTGGTAGTACTGGTGGGTGATGCAGGTAGTGCTGGGTGGTAGTACTGGTGGGTGGTGATGCAGGTAGTTTTGGGTGCTAGTGCTGGTGGGTGGTGGTGCAGGTAGTGCTAGGTAGTAGTAGTAGTAGTGGTGATAGTGCTGGGAAGTAGTGGTAATGCTGGTGGGTGGTGATGTAGGTAGTGCTGGGTGGTAGTGGTAGTACTGGTGGGTGGTGGTGACCGTAGTGCTGGTGGGTGGTGATGCAGGTAGTGCTGGGTGGTGGTAGTGGTAGTACTGGTGGGTGGGGATGTAGGTTGTACTGGGTGGTAGTACTGGTGGGTGGTGATGCAGGTAGTTCTGGGTGGTATTTGTAGTACTGGTGGGTGGTGATGCAGGTAGTTCTGGGTGGTATGTGTGATACTGGTGGTGTGGTAGATGGGTAGTGCTGGGAGTAGTGGTAGTACTGGTCAGTGGTGATACAGGTATTGCTGGGTGGTAGTGGTAGTACTGTTGGGTGGGAATGTAGGTAGTGCTGGGTGGTAGTACTTGGTGGGTGGTGATGCAGGTATTCTGGGTGGTATGTAGACTGGTGGAGGTGATGCAGGTAGTGCTAGGTGTAGTGGTAGACTGTCGGTGTGATACAGTATTGCTGGGAGTATGGTAGTACTGGTGGGTGGGAATGTAGGTAGTGGTGAGTGGTAGTACTAGTGGGTGGTGATGCAGGCAGTTCTGGGTGGTAGTCTGTGTACTGGTCAGTGTGATCAGGCAATTGCTGGGTGGTAGTGGTAGTACTGGTGGTGGGAATGTAGGTAGTGCTGGGTGGTAGTACTGGTGGTTGGTGATGCAGGTAGTTCTGGGTGGTAGTGGTAGTGCTGGTGGGTGGTGGTGTAGGTATGCTGGGTGGTAGTACTGGTGGGTGGTGATGCAGGTAGTTCTGGGTGGTAGTGCTGGTGGGTGGTGGTGCAGGTAGGTGGTGTGGTGATAGTGCTGGGTGGTAGTGGTAGTACTGGTGGTGGTGATGTAGGTTATGCTGGGTGGTAGTTGTGGTGGGTGTACGGTAGTGCTGGTGAGTGGTAGTATTGGTGGGTGGTGATGCAGGTAGTGCTGGTGGTTGGTGATGCAGGCAGTGCTGGGTGGTAGTGGTAGTATTGGTGGGTGATGATGTAGGTAGTGCTCGGTGGTAGTGGTAGTATTGGTGGGTGGTGATGCAGGTAGTGCTGGTGGTTAGTGATGTAGGTAGTGCTGGGTGGTAGTGCTGGTGGGTGGTGGTGACGGTAGTGTAGGTGGGTGGTGATGCAGGTGGTGCTGGTGGTGGCAGGTGAAGCGCTGGTTTATAAGACAGTGTCGACGGGGCTGACTCATTCTTTGCTACAGCCTGGCTGGCACCTGTCATTCCTGGTTGGCCATGATGGCTACTGTTTCGTTGCTGCCCGGTTCACTCACTCTGTGATCACCTTTTATTTTGCCATTGTAGTGAACTAGTATGTGTGTGGGTGTGCAGGTGTTAAATCATGTGCGAGAGTAGCAGAACAGGTTACAGCAGCTGGCAACGTCGCTCCTCCCTCACCGCTGGTATGCCTCCTCTCTCCACCATTTCCCACTCCCTCTTCCCCCATCCACCTCATACCTACCTCCGGTCCCTGGGCCACACCAAGAGCCACCTACTTCTCCCCCCCCTCCCCCGAACACCACTCCAGGCGTTGTGGCCGTGAGCAGGCAGGGAGGTTGGCAGGCAGCTCTCGCCATCACGCCTGCTTTCTCTCTCTCTCTCTCTCTCTCTCTCTCTCTCTCTCTCTCTCTCTCTCTCTCTCTCTCTCTCTCTCTCTCTCTCTCTCTCTCTCTCTCTCTCTGTCTCTCTCTGTCTCTCTCTGTCTCTCTCTTGTCTCTCTCTGTCCTCTCTGTCTCTCTCTCTCTCTTCTCTCTCTGTCTCTGTCGTCTCTCTCTCTCTCTCTCTCTCTCTCTCTCTCTCTCTCTCTCTCTCTATCTCTCTCTCTATCTCTATCTCTCTCTATCTCTCCTATCTCTTCTATCTCTCTCACACCTTCCACCAATCTCCACCTGTCATGCAACACTCTTCTTATCTTGACCTTATACGAGCACTTTTAATAGCCATACAATTTTGTCTCCAGTTTCTAGCTACAAATGAAACATAGTGAGTAGTGTAAATTATTGATTAGTTAAGGCAGCAAGTGCGTCTGCGACCACCAACTTGCCCGTTGATGACAGGCTTTGTATTTGTGTTGCGTTCTTGCTCAAGTGAGTGTAAACATACGTGTATGTTTAGCTCACAGCGCTCGTAGCCACTCTACACTTAGTGTTAATTAATGCTCGGATTTTATTACTTTGGCGTCACAGGGAACCAAGTGCGCTCCTTCCTGCACTTGTACACACACGTGTATGCACAAACGTCTGATTTGTTAGATACGCTAGTGAATTTAAACAGATGTATATTTAATGATGAACTTGTGATCCTAGGGAATGGTGATGCACTCTTATCTTGACTGTTGCACGTGATGTCACTGGATGTAACTGATATATTTCCCAATCACAAATGTGTCAGATAATCTTATTGAAACATTTGATGACATAATACTGCTAGTAAAACCGGGAATATGATGCCCATGTTTATAACATGAGCTTACCTATTTATGTTTGCGGGGGGGGGGGGGTCGAGACTTGGCCCCGTCTCCTGAAGGATACCTAGAGGACGTTTCTAGGGGTTAATGCCAACGCTACCCTGTCCCAGACCAGGCCTAGAGGGTCAAGGTCTGATCAGCCATGGTGTTATTGCTGGCAACACGGATGGTAGGACTTGATTTGAGGA